AATTTGTTGCTGCTCTATTTTGACTGAACTAGAATACACGTATCTTAATACTTCCTCGCATTTATATTTGTGCCCTAACGTTGCGATTACTCGACATCCGCAACGTAATTCAAAAGGCACTAGCGAAGGAATACGATAGTGTATTATTGCAGCAATCAACAATTCGAAAATCGAGCGAGTACAAAAAGTATCAATTGTTAACATGCATGATTTAGAGTAATAAACAAATGAAAGTACAATTACACAATGAAAGTATAGTACGATTATGAGTAATAAAACGGGTCACTACAAGTGTATGAAGTTGATGTCTACCATTCGTCTTTGTTTTCTGTTGATTCTTATTCCTAATGCTTCACTTTACTGTTGTGTTATGATCGACTACGGATAACAATTTGTTGTTTTAGAATTACAATTTTTCTTTGAGTGAAATCAAGCTTGTGGTGTGGAGTACCATTTTGACCTTTGAGTGTTTGCTGGAAACATGTTATGCTCTATTTGCTTCTTGTAGACAGGATTTCGATCTCATGTTTTTGGGAATGTTCTTTCTGATTCTCAGATATTTTACAGTTGTGCTTGGTTAATTAGTTTTGCTGCATAATGCATATGTGGTGATTGACAATATCTATCACTGTATTGTTGAAATACTGACTGTTGTTTGTTAATACTTATTGTATGAATTACAAATAATTCCGCCAAATACAAATTCCTAAATTCATCCCTTTCTGTGTTGTTGGTTGATTTCCTGTAATTTGGTCATTGCGAAATACTACTGTTACAAATAATTATAATAGCATATTTCATACCTGAAAAATCTTTGGACTCTTTAGTCACCTGATGATATTGCCGTGGCACTTTTTTAATTTCTAGTGTAACTTATTAATTTCTAGTAGTACCACAGACTTTATTGCGTCAAATCCTGTTTCGATATTATCGGAATATAATTTTTGGCTGTGCAGAAAAACTGAGTATATCGTATGGATCTTATTAACTTGGTTTCATTGATTTGTTTCTGGAGTTTAGACCAAAGTATCGTTCACTTATTCAGTGATCCTATATTCGCATAACTTCTCAATATTTCATTTATATAGATGCAACTTTGAACAGCTGTAAGCGTAATATTCTTCCTTCATTGGTTGAAGAGCCATTAGTAGCACCCTTGCCATTGAGTTAGGGTCGGCTAGACTGTTAATTCCTCCGGTTTTGTGGCCTTTCATGACAGGCAATTGCATGATAATCACGGACGTTATTTCTGGCTGAGGCTGGGTAATTGACCAGCTTACAGTCGCTTATGCTATGTAAGTTACTAGTCTCGTAGTGCTGTATATCATTACATTACATAATTCTTCCATCTATATGTCTTGAAGAATTTCATTTGTAAATTCTGCGTTTATATGTCCTGGTATAACTGGTGAGTGGGTCCGACTGGTATCTTTATACAGTTTCTAAATATGAAAGCTTTGTTATATTACATACGTGCGGTTGTACAGTCAGAATTCCTCGTCTGCAACTTCACTATCATTCAACATTGGCGGCTGACATTCACTGTTTGCGTTGTGGATACCCAGTTAAAAGCCCATGCCATCTTGCACATTGTTACATGCACAATATCTGGCCAGTTATGCACTCATCACTGTTCAGAAGCACAGACCTCAAAATATATCTCGTATTTTACATGATCTAGCTATTGTTCGGATTTTCTGTACTGACTGTTCTGTGATCCACGTCTTACAGGTGCATTTAGGCTCAGTGGATAATATATACTCGTTAACACACTGGCCCCTTCCTATAAAATTTAGTGTCTCCTGAAAGACATTATGTATCGCAATGCTCGGAGTCACTTGGTAATAGCCGTTTGCCTCCACTTGGTCTCGAGCAGTGAAAATAAGCCAGTCTTACTAAACACAAGAGTGTAAAACTTTGTTAAACTATGGTTTGAAGCCAGGAAATAATGCTTTCATGAAGCCTCATGTAAACATTACTCGGCGTGCTGATGTAATATGTTGCCGCTATGCAACTTACTCTTTTCCACTTAAACGACCTTATAAGGATGGATGCAAACAATTTTGGAGGCTGAAGGTATCGACGTTCGCGAGTTGTACGGATTATACTAACGCAAGATCTTATACCAACAACTTCTATAGTGTTCGCACTTCGAGTACCAAAGATAAACAAAAGACCAGATTTTGTCGTCCAAAGTACGTATTATATTTCGGGAACAAATCACGGGTAGAAGTGAATGCTTAGCTAGCTAGTAATCGTGCACTCACGTGACACGACGGAGTACCAAATGGCGGGGATGCTTGACCGGAAGCCTTCAGCTAAACAAGTCGACTTAAACAGTGATGGTCAGCATCCAATGTTGAGTGATGATTGCTGTGGTCAATAATTTTGGGGAATTATTTACCGCTACACAGTGTTGCGTCAAAACAAGAAGAAGCTGATACTTTAGCACTATTTCTTTCATCGCGAGTTCTGTTTCAAAGGCTTTACTGATGATGCGTAAGCTGCTGACAAGTTATCAAACAATAGGATTGATAGCAGATCACTTTCTAAAGTCAACTTATGATTATACGGTTGATAAGAATCAGAATACATGATTGTGTGAATTAATATTTTCTACTGGAAATGATTTCCACTATGTCTTTATTTATCCTACTGAAAATTGTCTAATTATCTACTGCCTTTTTGGGTGTATCGGTGGCACAGAGGTTGAATGCTTATCAACCGCGGCCCATGTGGTTTGGGGTTCGATCCCCGGTCGGGTGACAATAAACGTTATAGTGATATATTATCGCGGAATGTATGGGTTATCGTGTTCACGCGTGTAGAGGCGTTATAAGCGTTTACTTTTGTGAAAGGCTTCTATAACCGAAAAAGCAACATTTTCCAGTATTGTATTCGTATTAATGGAAGAACCTGTCATGATATCCCAGAGTATGTATTACTTCAATACCTCATCGTATATAAGAAATTTAACAAAAAAAGACTATTCTTCGCGTTTTAGAGCCTTAATGGTCTATTATTTGCTAGGTTTTTGAGGAAATATACGTTGAAAATTAGGTATATACAATGGTTGTTTTCATAGCAGTTATTCTATGATAACGAGACATTTGAAGGAGAACAAGCCCACAGACACAAGTGAAATATACGTTTTGAGGATACCAAACACTTTTTTATCATCATCCGTGATGATTGAAATATTCCATAACACATCGAAGAGAGTATGCGATGAATGAGACAATCTGCTGAATTTCCTGGTGATTTTATCCATTTCTGTGAAGTTCCTAGTTAAAATGGCTCAGTTGAAGATGTGATACTAGTTTAATTTACATTGCCACATAGAAATTCGGGAGACCGTAATTGTTGAGTGCATTACATTGCATCAGATTATCTCGATATCATTGTGCATTTGTGCTGGAAGAATAGTATAGATGGTGCTTCTACAATGCCAGACTGCTTCAAATTGGGATCACCTTTCTGTAGAATAGTAGCTCGCAGGTATGTCCTACAACTACTAAACGTGTTACTTCAGTTATATCAGTCGTAATAATTTTTCATGTTCACATCACTAACATATTCTGAGATGCTTAATGAATTACTTGTGACTATGAATGACATGGAAGGTGTACTTATGGCTCATGTTTCTAAAGCATTTATTATGAAACAAGTTATCTGTAGGGATTTTGTGATGTTTAAGTTACAATGCTTGTGTGTATGTAGTTACTGTATGCTATTGTACTTGAAGGGACAGTTGGTGAAAGTGAAGATATGATAAAGTTTTCTCTAAAGTCACTATGAATACTGCAAACTGTTGCTAAGAAACAGCATCAAAGGAATAAGTTCCGAATAGCTAGAAAACACTACTGCAGTTTCTCAGGATGCTGTTCTCCTCCTGGAATACCTTTTAATTGTGTGAGGGAATAGCACTTACCGATATATATGCAGTGTTCATTGTGAAGGGTCCGGAGTTTAACTTTTATTGTAATCTGTTGTAATTGCTTGTACAATAAATGAACAATCTAAGCTTTTGAAAAAGTTTTAATTTACGATTGTAATTTACAGCCTAAGTTATTGTACCTGTAGAGATGTCATGCATTCCTTGTAAACACCCATTTATACAGTATATTAAGTTATTATTTGCTTGGTGCTATACTTTAGAAGAAGAACAATGTATGTCACAGTGAAAACCGCAGAAGATTGCTGTCCTGACCAAAGAATGAGAAAGGAGAATGAACCTTTTTTCAGCAAAGGTAGGAGAATATAAAGCGTTTCACTTTTACATTACTTATTTCTAACTTCAACGATTTAAAAATTATACTTTATTCACTTACTTGTAGATGTTCGGTCAAGTCAGTCAACCAGGTCACAGCAATTACGCATCCCCGCAGTAATTACGAAAAACAATTGTGTGAAGACATTCGCTTAATATTTTTCATGAAATATATTTAACATCCTGCTTACCATACTTTTCTTATTCTATCTCAGTGAAACTAAATTTGTCATTATGACGAGATGTAGGCCTGAGAAACTGATTGTAGGCTTAATTCAACGTCGGCGAAATCGTACTAACATTGCTACAGCCCAACCTATTAAATTATTCCTCTCGTGTAGACTTCAGTTTACACTGTATGTTAACACCCGTAGTCATATGGATTGACATCTTGCTTTAAGTGAAATAGTAGTAATACAGTACTTTTGATTACACTTAACTTCATACGAAATCGAAGTCAACTGCAGGGCCCTAAGTTCTATTCTTATTTGTCAAACACTGAAGTTAGGTATTTTTGTCATTAGTCCCTACAGATTTATCTATGACTAGGAGACGTAATCTCAGATTTTTTTCGACGTGACTGAAGTACTTATAATTCACGACTTATATCGGTGGAAAGTGTTCCTACAGAATAGCACTTACGTATAGTAAGGAATTCATATCCTAGGGAGCACCGGTCTAGCATGCCGTACTCCCAACGCGAACACACCAACAGAAAGACAACAATCTTAATACGAAAAGTTTATTCTTATTGTAATACGAAAGTATTTAATTTACACATCAAGAACATTGTTGATTTGAGCGATTACTTCTCCAGCGAACTCTGCGGCAAACTTCCGTCCATATTTGTCACAAATTCTCGTCAGGCCCGCATTAATAAGCCTCCTATTGGTTACGTATAAGTCACATTGATTTCGCGGCACAATTGCTGACGTGCTTGGAATTGCGTACGAGAGGCGAGACCATGTCCATCGTTTACACTTCTGCAGCACATGATTAACTACAAAAGGTGGAACGGTAAACGGAAATAGAATTATGCACACAATATTAAAGGATAAATAATGACAGTGCTTACGTAGTTTACATTTACATTAACGTTACCTTTATTAACTGAAGCTTTCAGATTTCTAACGTCATTAAGAGTTATGTGCTTGTGGAATGTTTCCTTAACATGCATAACTATTTCATCTGATGAGTGCGATTGGTGAAGAAGTGGTTCTACATTTTCTTTCTCTTCCGCTGACAGTCGTCTAGACCATGGATCATTCTGCATATACACCCTGGTGCATGGATGGTTGTGGACCATTTTGTGGGATGTTATCACGTATTCACTATAACGCAAAATTACGCGAAATGCAGACAGACAGTTGCAACATTTAGACCTTAAACATACATATTATCATAATACAATTCCTCTTACGACTTGTTTCGCAATTTCAGGCCAGCTTTTCCACGGTTCACGCCAAAAGTGCATTTAAAATAAACGTAAGCGTACTTATATCTGTCGTCCCCTGTTGTTTTGCTTTGAATATGCACATAGTGAGTGCAGGACAACTACATTGTTAGCATTAAATGACTTCCTCACTTGTTGAAATTCTCCTAAGGAATTCTCAAATTCCTCCCAACTAAAGAAACGCCTTCCCAGCATAATTTCATCGAAAATTCCACTGACGTCAGCAGTACTTTCACCCGCATCGCCTACCTGCAATAAACTAAAAAGGCGTTGTCAATTAGCATCCATCTGTGTCGCAATATCCATCAATAAAATGCTACATGTATAACCTAAAATCGAGAAAAGCCCTAGAACTCACGGATTCCTTGACATCGCCAGCAACCGATAGGCCAACAAACCGAGTGTATGATAAACCAAGCCTGGTACATGCACAAAATAAGTAAAAGAAAACGTTAGAAAACCAACATTTTACATTTATATTCATCAAACATGCTTACAAACAACGCATGCCGCAACCACGAAAACCTGCACACGGCATGACCTACCGAGGACAAATTTAATGTCAAACTCTCCGCCACTGTACTAGCCAATCAAAGCTGAGAAAGCCCTTAAGCGCGTAAGATATAACACTCTATAACGTATATTCTCACTCCTAGCAACCCCATCCCGTAAAAATAAAAGTTCTGTTACCGAAACTTCAAGTCTCTAGCTTAACTTTCTGTGTTCTACTGGGAACGTAAAGGGGCGAATTTTAACAACAGCGTCCCAGGAGTGCGAACGCTCCAATAACCTTGAACGTATGCTAGTCGTTGGCTGACGGCACCTGTCACAATCATAGCTGAAAATCAGCGCTATTCACCAATCAGGCGGCAAATTTCACTCAGATCACGTTTTTATGCGCTGTTTGGACAATGTGTTAATAGCTCGTTAGGGTTAGGATTAGGGTTAAGGTAAGTATTAGGGTTAGGGTTAGCAACCCAAAACAAAACTACCTCTGGAGACCAGTTATTTGCGTCAAAAGTAGAAGTGCGTAATTTGAAATAAACGTCTATATTCAAGCAATACAATGTTAAAACGTGGTTACATAGGATAATATTCTTGCATATGTTCCAAAAACCCCTATTTCTCACAGTAGCCCTCATAGTCAGGTTGAACCGATTTCTGTACATAAATTCATCGGGATCATCAGTGCGTTCATTAGGTAGTTTAGAGTTATCCACATTTTCCTGGTGAGTAGTCGTCGGCCCTCTTACTGAAAACCATATTAATTCAACCGGGGGCTTTCGGGGAAGACTGCACAACAGGATAAGAGAGGTAAACAATTCACAAAAACAGCTTACCTTCGGTCACCTCCGTGAATACATGTACAGAAACTAGTCTAACTTAACAACTGATACCCCTAATTTTAACTGGGACGTATTTTCAAGTCATGTTAGAAAAAGATGCCCTGTCTAATGTGTTTTCACGCATTCTGTTGTAAATATATATATTTTTTGTGCAAAAATCACTTATTTATATGATTGGTCGGCTGAAGGGCACTCGTGAGTTCGCATACCTTGGGACGCTATTGTTGAACTTTTCCCGTAAAGGAATAAAAAATCTACTGCATGTTTGGGCGTAACATTTAACCATCTAACTTTGCTGATAACACATGCCTCGAAGACTTCGACTTTAAATTCGGATTAAACACTGTAGTATGTTGGTGAATTGGAATACTGTAGTATGTTAAAGAAAGAGTGAAAATGTAATCGCGTATAGGTTTATCTCATTCAACTTATATATGAGTCCCGAAAATTATTAGTCTACAACATTCTTCATTCAACAGTGGCCACTAACCTTCACCAATTGAGTAAACTTGTTATGCTGAAGGTGCATTATCATGCACTTTCTCCATTTGGCAGGCTGTCGTGTTGTGTTAGGTCGTCCGTATAAAACCGTTTTTAAGTAGAGCTTAGATCGCTCAACCGTATCGCTTATCCTGGAAGATATTTCATAATTTAAACTATTACACTTTTGTTTTGTTTTGGTTTAGTGCATACTCTCAAGTCATATAGAATGTGTACATTTTTTGGAGGGGTTACCATTATATCATCGTATCCCATTTGCTTGCCGACATCCTTGAACTTTTAAAACCTTGTTTTTTCTACCATTTAGTTGTCAATCAGAGGATTCATAGAAGTTGCGCTTTCATATACAGCACAACTTGTCATGAATGCCTCAAAGTAAGTTTGTTAATTTAGATTTGGCAGTTTGTCAGGTGTGGAACTTAATGAAGATTACTGAATCGCGTAACCATCCACATCTATAAGACTCTGATTGTGTAACCTGGTTAACCTGTCGTCACAAATACATTTACATATTTACACTGTGTAAACAGTGTCCAGAATAAAGGCATTATTATGTTGCAGTATTTGTTGCTTCATTGAAATGGCAAATTCGCCCTTTTTCGAAAGGTTTAGCATGGTGCTTGCGGTGGTCGAAACGCTGTCAACCAAGGCGTTATCTACGCGCCTATTATAGGTGAAGTTTCCTGCCACACTTTCTTCTCTTTACCTTTTTTATCTGGTCCAAGTCACTTGTGAAGAATTATCGGACAGACCTTGGATATATATATCATAAAATATTGCAAATTCAACCAAAAATTGAGGATTATCAAAACATAGGTGGCCAAGGAAAGGAGAGCGTTCGAACCAATTTCCTTTGGATCCATAATTCGGGCTTCTTGTTATGGATTTCGGCGGCTTCAGCAATACGCAATGGACATACTCGCAAGATATAATTAAGATTAGTTAGAATACGCATACAAATTTGGATTTCACGATCACAACAGTAGTGAGTCGTGTATGTGGCTGGGAACATATCCAGTGTCTAGCCCATTTCATATCTTTGGAAGATACTATAGGCCCTATTTAAAGATGGTTAAAGGCGCAAAGAAGCTCTGAAGGTAGAAATGCGGTAATCTCTGGTGCCGGGACGAACCACAGGAGGATTATGTACCAGATTTGGATTCAACGCAATTATTTCACAATCAGCTTCCATTCATTCGAAAAGCCTCAATGATTTGGTTCTCAGTTATCTTACAAAATAGTCTTCAGGGGTAGCAAGGAACGCTATCGGATGAGAAAAGATCACTGAACAAATCTAGATGTTACTAATCATTTTGCTACTGATGACCTAAAATTGTTTGTAGGCAGTCTGTGGTTATCCTATTGCTTTTGCGAACGCCGTAACATGTCTACAGTCTACAAAGCATTTGTGCTTAGTTAATGGAATTCCTACTTACGCAATATGCCCATCTGTAGCGAATCTAATTAAAAACTGGATGAGTATTACATTGCAAGTTTGAGTTAATAATAACCAGAATTCACAGTGGTATGATAATCCTGTTATAATTTGCACGGTCACCTTATAAAGAAGTTTTCAGAGCGCAGTTATGTAGTCTCAAGAAGTGCGTTGTTTATCACATTATTTGGAAGCCAAAGATGAATCAGCGATATCAGATCCTAAATGTAGGTGTGGATTCTCAAAGCGTTCTAAGCATTACTGATAGTCTGGCATCCAAATTATGAAATTGAAAGATTTCAAAATTCTCTTAGGGTTACCGCGAAACGAAATGTGGAGGCCAGTTTGGACTTCAAAAATTGGGTGATGCTGTTATTCTGGAAAGAAATGCATCTAACTGTCCTGCTACAGCGGTAACAGAGTTTCCTAAAGGTACTTGTATATACTCAAAGTTGTGCTGTAGACAGAAGGGCAGAAGGGCCACAGTAAAATGAGGAGATATAATCTCTCATTGGTAGAATTTGAATATTCCTATCCATGTGGTCTTCCTTTCAGAAGGCATTTAACACAGTTCACCCTAACCTTCTCCTACACAAAATATATCAGGCAGGTATAAGTGATCTGCTTCTGTCATGGTTAAAGGACTAGCTAGCTGAAAGGAAATTTTGCACTAAGGTCCATCGAATCCGGTCATCCTGGCACGGCTCGTCATCAGGATTGTTCCAGGTTCTATCGTAGGACCACTGATGTTTTTGATTTTTATCAGTGACCTACCATGCCGTCTAAGCTGCCCGACTCTTCTTTAAGTTGACAACTTGTAGATGTAGAGAGCAGTTAAGTATTTGGAAGACTAAGATAAGCTTCATGCAGACCTAAAGCTTCTGGAAGACTGGGCGGTGGTTAGTGGTATGACTTTCAACCTGAAAAAGTACAATGTAGTGTGATTACACTTTTGTAGGCTGCAGAATGCAATTTACACCATGTGCAACGAAAACGTGTCCTGTACAACGTCGGAGCATGAATTAAGTCTAGTTCTAACAGAAAAGGTGGACACAAGAGTGAATTACGTGGGGGATATAGCGAGGGAATTTACGGTCATATACTTTACGCACAGACAATTAGGTGCACTCACGCCTGAGCTCTTTCTAAGGTTGTACAAAACACACGTCAAACTATACCTTGAGGTGCACAACATCATTGCCATCCAGCTGCTTAGAAGGGATGCGAACTTTTGGGAGAGAGTCCAATGACGAACGGCAAAATGAGTGATGGTTCTCATAAACCAACCGTATGATGAAAGACTAAAAGAATTAGGTCTCTTAACTTTTTACTACTGTCGGCTTGGGGGACTTGATTACTGCCTCCAAGGTAACGAATAACCCGAATTACCCAAACAGAGTTGTTCTGACATTCAGAAGGTATGGGTTTCCTCGTGGAAATTCCAGAAGTATAGCTCACCAGAGGATAAAGACTCGAATGCCCTCCCAATTCTTTCCCATGCCGGTTTGCCGTCCGTGGAACTTCTAATTGGCAGATGCAGCTACGGCCTCGTCTGTGGACAGCTTTAAATGAAGACCGGACGGTCATACAGCGACACAAGGACTGCGTCCAAACGGCATATCCCCTTAAAATCCGATACGTATTTAATGGGTGGACATCTAAACTCATCGTTTTACTTCATATTCTCTCTTGCCTTACTCTCCTGACTTCTCCAACTACTACACTTACACTTATTATTATTGATATTATATATATGTGTATGGATATATATCAACTTCAAAGTTGATCAGCCGTCACTTTGTACGTTTTCTTAATTTCTTTTTCTGTCTTTTAGTCAGCATAACCTACACTGATTATATCTGTTATTATTATCTCTTTTCTTTTTTCGACGACACTGAAGGACTAAACTGTGAAAGGATCAACTCCATTCACAGCAGCAACACAGTCTTAACACACCGCATACTACAAATAATATATAATTAGTCCCAGCACAACTCCTTTGGGGGGCAATCAAAGCTACGACAGTCGAGTGGCGGGACGACCTGCGCAGAAGTTTACTGAAGACTAGGAACCTTTACTCAAAATCAAGAAGCGAGCACAAAGAAATCAAATTGGTTTACTTTAGCTCATAAAAACGATATTGGACATTGGAGGACACATTACGACCTTCAACCGCGATATTCCTCACTGCCGTTACTTTTGTTTGTTAGACACGTGAGGTAATTTTGGTATTTTAGGAATGTAAATTGCCTACTGTGTATTGTTATTTAGCATTTATCAATGAGATTATAGAGTAAGGGATTTGTATTTGACACCATGTCGAAATAGTATTTGGTGCTATTGATACCAGCACTATTTGCATAAGCTAAACATCCACTGGCATTTGTTTAAGCAGTCGTTTCCCATTTCAAGAATTAGTTCATCA